TACCTATCTAGACAAACTGTATTAGCATTCATAAACCTGGACAGAGTAACCAATTCATTAGCTCTGGATGAAGACTCACCTTGAGAGTTGATGGAAGAGATTTGGGTAGACATGACACTAGTATTCTATAGCTCTGATACCATACGAGAATCAATTGAAGAGGTAAATTTTTGATTGATATTTACCGAGTTTACAGAGATTTATATAGAGATGTAAAGAATTCAAAAGTTAAAAAATAAAATGTACAAGTAACTGATAAGTACAACAAGATAGTAGTTATCTGGTATTGTTAAGTATACAGATAGCTATTGATTAGTGTCATCCAATTGATGATGTGGATGGTATGCTGTTATCTCTAATAGCAAACCTTCTGGAATGGGAGAGTAAAAACGTTTAAAGTGAAGTTCAACCAAACAACAAAAATAGGAAACATTTAAAGTAAAAAACGTTGAAAGTGAAAAAGTATAAATAAATGTTTAAAAAGAAAAAGTGCAAATAAATGCCCACAAAACCAAACACATACTTAGTTGGAAAACAAGAGGGTCTAACAGGCCTCAATTTTGCAAACAAGATTTGGATATAATCGAACCCCACAAGCCTGCTATCTGTAGTTTTCTTGGAACTAAGTGAATCCAGAAAGAACAAAGAATGTGTTGCCAAATCTTTTTCTTATCTTTATGACTATTTGTAGTTGATTCCATAGGGTTTTCTGGAGGATTATGGATTTTATGGGATAAAAATAGATGTTATTTTGTCAAATGATCGTTTAGCACATTCTCTAATTTTGGATTATGTTAGTGGAAAATCGTGGTTTTGTACCTTTAATTATGCCCCTCTAAATAAAAATGAACAAAAAAAAAATATTATTGAATTGGATTAGAGAAATATCCGAAAACACTAGAGGGGCATGGTGTTTAGTTGGAGATTTCAATGCCTTCAGATTAAGAGAGGATAAGAGGGGTGGTAGATCGGTTTGACCATTTCAGACAAGAGATTTTAACCAATTTATAAATGGCTGTAATCTTTTTGATTTAAAAATGATGGGAAACCAATTCACATGGCAAAATAAATATACATGGGAAAGATCTGATTGGGCTCTTATAAACGATGAATGTAGTAGCTAATTTCCTGCTGCAATTCTAGAAAATCTCCCTTTCCACTCCTCAGACCACTCCCCTATTTTGCTAAATATGGATTGTTTACCTCCTAAAGGCCCAAAGCCTTTTAGATTTGAAGCCATGTAGAGTGAAGATACAAAGTTTGAGGAGGTTGTTTCTTAGCCATTGAGGCTTGAAACTAGTGGTTCAAGAGCTATAAAGTTTATTAAAAAAAGAACTTTTTTTCATTGGAATAGGGAGTATTTTGGAAACATTTTTATAAAGAAAAAAATATTCTCAATAGGCTCAAGGAATTAGCAGAAAATCTAAACAACAGAACTCATGTTAATCTAGAAAGGGCCCACCAAATTCAATTGGACGATATTCTAAAATGCGAAGAGATTCATTCAGCTCAAAAGGCCAAAATTGATTGGCTCAAGTTTGGTGACAAAAATAACAGGTTTTTCCAAACTATGGTTGCAATTAGAAGGAATAACAATAAAAGCTTTATAATAAAGAATGATGATGGTGAGTGGATTAATAATCATCTTGAAATTTTAGACTATTTTGTTAACTAAGTTTGAGGAAAGATTCACATCCGAGGGTGTCTTAGGGGCTGACAACTTCATCCAATTTATAAGTCCATGTATTTTGGATGAGCATAATATACTAATTAGTGTTGAAGTTTCAAATAAAGAGATGTAAGAGGCTCTTAAAACTTTGAAAGATCTCAAACTCCTAGTCCAGATGGTCTTAATGCTTTGTTCTTCAAAAATATTGGAATATTATTGTAGTTTCTATGAATGAAGTTGTGAAAGGTTCCTTTGATTCAGGGAAATTAAATAAAATTTTTAATGAAACTTTTATCACCCTGACTCTCAAGACAAAAAGTTTTGGTCAATAGAATAAAGTCCATTCTTGATTCTATCATATCCCCATTCCAAAGTGCTTTTGTGCCAAACAGGCAAATTAGTGATAACATTTTGATTGCTTATGAGATGATGCACACAATAAAAAAAAGGGGGATTAGACATTATGGCCTATAAAGTATATATGGAAAAGCCTATGACAGGCTTGAATGGAATTTTATTGAGGGTGTCCTAAATAGATTTGGATTCCATAAAAAATGGATTGATTAGGTTATGACTTGTATAAAATTAGTATCTTACCAAATTCTAATAAATGGGATCCCTATTAGAAAATTTGAATCCACTAGGGGGATTAGACAGGGTGACTCCCTTTCCCCTTACACTTTTGTTCTTTACATTGAAGCCCTCACTAGAAACCTAATCAAAGAAGCAAACAAGCCTAAGAACCCTATTGGTTGCAGAGCCTCGAGAGGGGGCCCTTGTATTCCAATTCTTTAATCTGTTGATAATTTCTTAATTTTCACAAAAATCACAATCCCAACATGTTTGGAAGTCAAAGAAATTCTTATAAATTATGCTAAGGCTTTGTGTCAAAGCCCAAAATTTTCAAAATCAACATTGAGATTTTCAAAAAATATCTCAATCAAACTCTAAAAGATAATGTCAAAAAGTCATGAAAATTCCCCTGGGAAAGAAAAACGATAACACTTACCTTGGGGACCCTATAATAAATGGCCTGGTTACAACGAAATTATTCACGGAACTCAAAGAAAAAAATTAAAAATAAGCTTGTTGCATGGAAACAAAAAATTCTATCAGACTATCAACTCTATGCTTCAATTCATCATGAAGTGCTTCAAGTGCCCGAATTGTGTTATTGATGTGGTAAATGAGACTCAAGGAAATTTTCTATGGGCAAAGGAGAATCGAGGAAATGAGAAATAGTGTGTCTTCCCAAGAGATGGGGCAGCCTTGGCCTTGAGAACATTCATTAGGTTAATGAGGCCTATCTTTCTAAACACGGTTAGTAAATTTTGAAAGACAAACAAAATCTTTGGGTAAAAGTTGTGACCCACAAATACATAAGAAAGGATAACTTTTGGAGTTTTAACCAAAAAGAAAATGGAATTTCATGGGCTTGGAGAGGCATTCTTAATTCTTGATTCCTTGAGAGAGGGATTGGTGATGGTAGACATGTCAATTTCCGGAATGCTAGTTGGATTGACCAGGGGTCCATAAAAGGATTTGATGAATAGAGATATCTCCTCTAAAGAAAATACCCTTCTAGTCTCAAGTTTCATTGATCATGATAGAAAAATGTAGGCGGAAAATTCAATTTGAAACTTTGTGCCAAACCTTGTATGGGCTAACATCATGTCCATCTTCCTCCCATCTAGAGTTTAAATTAATATGGAGATTGAATCCCAAAGGTAAATTTACTATCAAATCTACTTACAAGGAGGCTTGCATCATGTCCAATGGGATGGGGTGGGGGTGGGGGGGACAAATATGGTGTAAAGTAGAATATGGGGTCTCAAGCTCCTCCAAGTATTAAAACATTCCTTTACTTCTAAGTGCTAGGCTTCCTTCTAAAGCCTTTCTCATTTCTAGGGGATTTAACATTGATGGGGCTTGTAGTATTTATGGTGATCATGAGGATATTGATCACATATTCAGAAAATGTACCATTGCTAGCCAAGTTTAGAGCACTATTAACCTTAATACAAGTGACCTAAACTATTGTAATCTCTCCTTTCTTGACTGGTGGAGAAGCCTTCAAGAAGATAGAAATGAAAAAGCTTTTAAAAGTAAAGATTCTCCTCCCCCTATTATTATTGATAGAGCTCTAAGGGTATTTAAAATAATCCTCCATTCATGTAAAAATTTTTAGTAACTTAAATTCCTTAAAATCTTGGAAACATATTTTCTGAAATCTCCCTTCAGTTGGTACCATCAAAATTAATTTTGATGCTTCCAAAAAGGAGGACTGGGGCTATTCTATTGCCTACATTGCCAAGGGTCATCTTGGCAGTGTTTGCTGAAGCATGGGCGGCTTGGGAAGCCTACAGTATTGCTCAATTTTAGATCAGTCCCAATCTGTATTGAAGGGGACTCTCTCCTTGTTTTCTCATGCCTAGAGATTGAAGAAGGTTCGCGTTCCTTGGAAGCTGAAGATCATCATCACCGAATGCTCAAAGATTGCAGAAAGCTTAGAGTGTGGAATCTCCTACTTTCACTTTTTTAGGGAAGAAAACCAAGCAACATATTGGATGGCGAATCAAGCTTTCTCTTCACCTTTACCACCTTCTGTACCTTTGTTTTTCTGCTCTTCCTACTGGTCTTTTGTTTATTTGTTTTTGTAATGCTTGGGGCAGAGCTACCTTTGAAACTTTAGGGGTACTTTAAGTAATTGTTATATACTTAGGGGTAGTTTAAGTAATTAAGTCATTCTGTTATTCTATATTAGAGTGCAAAACCTTATATTTTGTATGTATTTGTACTGTACATATTTCAGAAACCAAATACAACTTAATGATACGAAATAAAAAAATAATATAAACACTGTAAATCAAACTAGTCTTTAATGATACAATATATATATAACAGTGCAAATGATTTGATGTAAATTCTGACCTATTTTTGTTTCAAATTTTAGTTTACTTTGTTTGATTGCAATACAAATGAAATAAAATAAAATCTAAAACAAAATTAAATTAGAATTTACATTTTTTTCATTTGCACTCCCATGCATTTGTACTAGTGCAAATAAATTTAAACTGTAACCAAACACAGCCTTAAGGACTAGTTTGTTTTGCAGTGATGCAAAAATATGCTACCATAACTGTAAATGATTTGAGTGCAAATTTCAAATGTTGCGTTATTTTATTTGATTGCAGCCTGAAGCAGAATAAGTAAAACCTAAAATAAAATAAAATTGAACCAGAATTTGCATTCTTTTCATTGGCACTCTTAGTGCAAAATTGCAATGCAACCAAACAAAGCCTAACTTCGTTTTACATCCTACATTCGTAACATTCCTATCCACTATCCACTCTGATAAGTTCTGGTCACCGTGATTTCCTCTCTCTCTCTCTCTCTCTCTCTCTCATATGTGACATCGTCTCTGTTGATTTTCAACAATGGCATTTGTTTAATTTGGATCCTCAGTTAGAAACCCTTTTCGTCTTCTCTGTCCATGGCTGCGGTGCTTGAATCGGTTCCTTCTCCACACTCCTCACACCCTCGAACGGCGGTCTCAAGACGACGGAGACCGTTTGTTTGGACACATACCGGAACATCACCACTGCGGTTCTTGTCAGCTACCAGCCCGAACACTGCGAGCCGACGCCGTGGAATCTTCTGCGAAGCTCAAAATGTTCCTTCAAGAGGTTACATATTTAATCTCTCTTTTTCCCTGTCTCGTTTTTCTGACCTCCGTGTTTCCATTACAGTTCTATTGATGATTTGCATGTTCTCTTATATAATTCTCCTCTCGACTACACATACGTTTTGTAACCAGACACTGCCTGAGTTCGGGCAGGCATTCTAAGGCCTATCACAATAACCAGTAGCTTATTTCGTTGCCATCTTGGACGAAATGGTTCCATAATTCCATTGTGATCTTTTCCGTTGCATCTGATAGAAAAATTTTTCCGTTCAAGTTGCAGTAAAAGGGTCGAAAATGTAACCTCCAAACCTGTAGCAATATAATATGAACCAAAAAAAATGCAGCAATATAATTGATCCTTTTTCCTTCTCTGTTCCTTTTTGTGGGTGGGATATTAACTAGTACACTGGAGTTATCAAAAGTTCAAAATAGAAACTAGAGGGTGTTCTTAAAGGCGGCTACCCTTTTCCAACGAGGTTTCCATTACCAAGCACCGACTTCCATAGGATTTCTGGACTAATTGTAGATACTGTGGTAGGGTCTACTATCGGTCAATTACATTCCTATATTCATGGATAATACACAATTTAAGTTGTATATTCGAGGTTGTTATTGCCACTAGCTACTGAGCTTGGTTAGTGCAATTACTGAATAGCATACAATATGTGGGTGGCAATCTTAGTTCAACAATTACAAAATTCAGCAAATAACCTTGAGTTAGGCAACAACAAGGTCCCATTTAATGAAAATTCTGTCATTTTCTCTAACTATTTTTGTATGTTATCTCCCTGTCTCTGTTTCATTCTTTGGTTGGCTTGTGTTGAATGAAGGCAACTTGAACGCACTTCTTATGCTGCAAGCATTCGCGTCAGATACAGATTCTAATCTTATAAATGAAAGATATTGATGAAAAATGTGCCAGAAATGGGAATTGATCAAAAAAAAAAAAAACAGATAGGTGTAGTGTCACTTTGTTGTCAGATTTCCTGGGATTTTCATATTCAACAATATGTTTCCATTTTTAATTTGCACAGGTAAAACTCAATAGGAAGATCACTTGAAAAGATGAAGCCCTACCAAATAGATAAATAAATAAAAGAAAGGATAAAGGATATCATAGTCCATAGGTGCTTACATTATGAACTTAATGCCCAAGCACTTATTTGCCTTGCCTTTCAAGTCAATGAGCCACTTGTCTACTGAGCATGGACAAAAATCACAAGAACTTGATGGTCCTACATATGGTAAATGGATTTTTCTGGTTGCTTTTCCATTATGGTTCATCTAAAATCCAGAAAGTCAAATTCAAGTACTTTCCCGCTGTTGTGAATCTCTAAAGCATCCAGTCTAAGAGATTGCCCACCTGTTGCAGAGTCAGAACTCAGGATTGATGGGAAATTGGGAATGTTCATTATGTATCACATAAAATGTGGGCAGTATCATTGTACAAATATTTAGGGGCCATTACTTGGTGTAATAGTACAATCTCAGACTGATAAGTATGAGAACATGAGTTTGAGTCTACAAGCAGCTATTTTTATGCCAAAATAAAAAGGAGAAAAAAAAAAGAAGGCAAGGTTTGTTTGCAGTCTACCCTCCCAAGACCCTGGATGGCTGGGACCAACATTGGGTAATGGACTAATGACCTTTTTACCATTGCAAAAATATTTCTTAGTTGTCAGTCCAATGATCCAATCATAACCATGTTGCTCCACAGATGTTCTTGTATTACTTTTTCCTATTTTCTCTCCAGCACGGTTGCACCATTTTTCAAGATGCACTTGTCAGTTATTGAACTACATCTTTTTCTTGTATTTTCTCTTGCATTGTTTTCCGTTATGCATTTAGCACATTGTATTTGATCATTAGATTACCTTTCTTTAGTCTATTTGATGTGGTTTCTAAATAATGCCCCTCCTGATACAACCAGACTAAAGCTTTTGCAGTTCCAAGGAGGAATGTGATGACTTTGATGCTTTCAAGTTTTATCTTCTCACAAGTTGGCTTTCATGACAGTTCACTGGCTCAACCTTCTATTGGCTTTAGGGAATATATAGATACTTTTGATGGTTATACGTTTAAGTATCCTCAGAACTGGATTCAAGTCCGAGGTGCTGGAGCAGACATATTTTTCAGGGACCCTTTTGTTCTGGATGAGAATATTTCGGTGGAAGTTTCCTCTCCTTCATCTTCCAAGTACAAAAGCGTCGAGGATTTGGGTCCTCCTCAAAAAGCAGGAGAGAAAGTACTTAAACAGTATTTGACAGAGTTTATGTCAACTAGACTTGGCGTACGGCGTGAATCAAACATTCTTTCTACATCATCAAGAGTTGCAGATGATGGAAAGATCTATTATCAAGTTGAGGTTAGGACATTTTTGGATTAAAAAAAACGAAAAAAATGCTTAGGCTCAGTTTGGGAAGAGTGTAAATACAAGCATTTTCAGTGCAAAACCTTGTATACAGTATTTCTAAACCTTGTATTTGCACTGTTCATTTGCACCAAAGCTCAGTTTGGGAAGAGTGCTGCAAGACCTTGTATACAGTATTTCTAAACCTTGTATTTGCACTCATCCTAAACTGAGCCTTGATTGCATACCTTATAGAAATAGTACTACTAAGAACTAAACATTAGGTTGTCCTATCATGCTAGCTCTTGCACTGTGAGGTCCCAAGTGATCTTGGACAATACTGTCGAGTCTTGTAATTGAATGATTTGGCTTTGTCACATTCTTTCTATCAGATGACAGATGGAAAGAATACATGCATCTTTTTTTTTGGGGAAATTGGCAGAAGCATAAATCTTCATCATGCAATTCATTATCAAATCCAGGATATTTGATTAAAAGTTGTACCTTTGACATTGTATGCAGATAAATATAAAGTCATATGCAAACAACAATGAATTAGCTGTTATGCCACAGGAACGAATAGTACGTTTGGAATGGAACAGGCGTTACCTTTCAGTTCTTGGAGTTGAAAACAACCGACTGTATGAACTGAGACTGCAAACACCTGAAAATGTTTTCTTGGAGGAGGAAAACGATCTGCGCCAGGTCATGGATTCCTTCAGAGTAGTTAAGGTGGCAGCTTGACCATTTAATTGCCATGAGACATCCCTACGCTCTGGTATTTGAGTTCTCTTTGTTCCCCCCCATTCTTTGGTTACCGTGATTAGGAATTAGACATGTATTATCACTGGTACTTAATATTCCATTCACTGCATTTAGACATTTTCATCTTTTCATTTCACTTTCTAAGTACTTTATAATAAAAATAGGCAATTATATGCATAATTCTTATATAGGAAGAAAATAGAAAGGAGTTGTAGTAATTAGTAAACAGTGAGTCTATGCAATTTTTTGTATCCTTTGCCTTACAAACATGGTAGGACGCATGAAAAGGCATAATAAAATACAAAGTTGGATGTGCTTTCTGCGTTGGTCCACATTTTTTGTATAACAAAGAAAACAAACAAGTGCAGAATTATTTGAAAGAAAAGAGAATGGCCTCAGTGATGCTCATGTAATCTTTGTTGCTCAGCAGGGGAGTTTTTGTTGCTGCTCAGCCCGGGTCTTGTGAAAACCAACAGCCCAACTGAAGCAGAGAGGGAAGCTGTTTTACAGGGTTTAGTGATTTACTGCTGGCTAATTCTCTTGCTTTGGATCAGTTGATCGTTGAATCTAATTGCCAAGAGTTGGCGAATTGTCTCTGACTCAAATTACAATCCACCTTTGGATTTTTTATTCTCTGTTTGGGAAGTTGTGAAACGTGCTGTTCTTTTGGATGTCTTTTATATTTGCAAACCGCTGTTGTAATAGGGCTGCACCTGTGGTTGCTCAGATGAGCTTCTTCTGTTAAAAGAGATTTGTTGGTTGGGTTCTCCTCCTGTTTGGCTGGGTGTCTCATAATCGAGATTGGGAATCTTTTTTGTATCCTGGTTCTAGGTATGCTTTAGCTCAGTTTGTTATAGTTTGTATTGTTTGGGCCTTGAGCCTTTCTTTTCCTTTGAATGAAATCTTGGAAGACCGATGCTGCTAAGGACCTAAGGTGGGTAATTGGGTATATGATGTGTGTGTGTGTGTGGTGTGTGAGAGAGAGAGAGGATCCACCGATCCGGGGATATATGATAAGAGTGGGAAAGTCATTTGATCGGAGAAATTTTGGCTGATATTCTGACCGTAATACTAGTCCTATGCCCCCAAACTTGTAGAGTTTTCCAAATGGATCCGATTCGAATATGAATCCATCCTATTCTTTTAAGTCAGATCCGGGCATTTATAAATTATAATAGCTATTAGTTGGATCTGATCATAATTAAAAATATGATCCGTTTATTTAATCAGATTGAATTTGAATATCGTTTGATTCGATCTTCCGATCAGATCCCATTCTGTATACATATATAAAATACTATTTTTTTGGTATATAATTATATATAAAATACTAGTTTTTTGTTAAATTTCGTTACAACTGGATGTTAATTATAGATTTATTATGTATGTCAATTCTATACAAGTTTGGGTTCAACTATGATACCTGAAGAATTTCACACCAATCAATCGGTATCGGGAAAGCGATAAACAATCGAGGGGCTTGAATGGTCAAAGCTCTTCCAAGTTTACTAATATTATAATTTATTTAAATATCTAGATAATATTAGATGAATTGAATTTGAATCTATGTTTTACAAAGCTGGGGGGATATCAAATCGAATTCGGATTTTATATTTTATTGAGTTGGATTCGGATATCCATATATCTGAACTCAATTTGATCCAATTTATGAAAGCTCTTCCACCATCATACCTTTCCGACATCATAGATTTTTTCTACATGTTTACCAATATTAATAATTGATTTAAATATCTAGATAATATAAATGAATTAAATTTGAATCTATGCTTTGTGGGATATCAACTCGAATTTGGATTTTATATTTTATTGGATTGGAGTCAGATATCCCTATCTGAATTCAATTTGATCCAATTTATCAAAAAAAGAAAAAAGAAAAATCAATTTGATCCATTTGCAGCCCCAAACTAAAGAAACTATATTGAAAAAGATTAGCAGATAGAGTTTTAGGAACTTTATAGGGTTTAATTGAGACTGCTAAATAAATGCTGAAACCTGGAAGCAAAATGCTGGAAACATTCAAAACTTGAAAATAGAGAAAAAATAGTTATTGCAATGCCTATGTTTCATCATTCAAGAATCAAAATCATAGTTGCAAAAATGCAATGGTACTTCTTTTTTTATAAGTTGGAATCATTTGAACAAGCCACTATCAGCCCTTAATTTTAACAGTTATGAAATGTCATAGGTACTCTATACTTTGGGGGTAGTGACAGGGCCTGAATTTTAAGGACAACACATTATTACCCTGTACTTTTTGACACAGTTCAGTCGAATCTATAGGAAAGGAAGAGTAGTTTTGGAATTTTAAAATGTTTAATACAAGATAACTGATGGAATGTTAATGGTTAGATTTGAAAAGTTCAAGGTACTGTATTGTCACATTTGAAAGTTCAAGCCTTAACACTATCCCCAAGGTACAGGATACCTATCTAGAATTTACCTTCAAGGCCCTGTCGACCAACTTTACAGTTTTTTTTTTATAAGCTCTGGGCTCCATGGTAAAGTTATTTTTTCTGGATATCACTTATCCGGGTAAGTGATACTCATCTTCCGGGTGGGTTGGGTAGACTTTCTCACTAGGGTGAAAGTTTTATTTAATGGGACAAGTTTGTTCATTTTAACATTGACTTTTTATGAGTAAAAAAAGTCATTATATAACTCACCAGGAAATTAAAAGAACATAGATAAGTAAATCTACCGATAAGTATTTTCTAGAAAACATTTACTTGGATAAATACACTTACCCGAATGACATTCTAAAAAAACGAGCAAAGCCTAAAAGAGGAACAGAAAATTGGTTAGAACTTTCCAACTTTTGTGTTTTTCTCCTATTTTCTATCAAACCATGCATAGCCTTAGCCTTAGTGACCTGTTGCACGTTAACTAGAACTAGAGGTATTATAAACGAGTGCGACTATGGATTTTATGAGTAAAGGCATGATATTTTAGAAACTTATAAGTGGTAATCAGTTAATGGAACTGTTGATAATAACAGAAAAGAAATGTGAATGGCCCATTTGGGACCTCGTAAGATGGCCCATTATGGCTAAAGAGGGGTAACCGACATCTATAAATAGCCCATGAAACAATGAGAAAGGCATCGAGGTCTCTCTCTCTCTCTATATATATTTTTCTGATTTCAGGAGGCAGAGTCTCCCTCGAAGAAGACTCCTGTGGTGAGCAAGCTCTCATCAATTCTGGTATCAGAGTTTGAGGTTTCGTCCAGAGAAGTGGTTGTCCATGCCGCAGACCAGGTCAGTGTCAGTAGAAGAGAGAATGGATAGAATTGAGGTCGATCTACACAAGTTCTTCGGCGACCTGCGAGAGATCAAGGAAGCGATCTCAGCAGTGATGTCACAATGTGAGAAGCTGAATGCATCACCGAACAGCGAACAGCAAAGAAAACGGTGACGAGAGCTCCAGCCAAGACAGTTCTCACCGGTTCGGCGGAAATAATCACCGCCGGGTCAGAGTGGATTTCCGGCTTTCAGTGGAGAAGATCCTCTTTCTTGGATCTACAGAGCAGAGCGATACTTTGATATCCAGGAGATCGCGAGCCATCAGAGAGTAGCGATCGCTCCAGTGTACTTAGAAGGAGAGGCGATCGGTTCCAGTGGTACAAACGATCGCATCCTCAGATGATGTGGAAAGAGTTTTCGTAAGCCCTCCGTATCCGTTTTTGACCTTCCTCTTTCGAAAACTTTGACGAAGCTTTGTCGAAGCTGCGATAAGAAGGCACGGTACGGGAATACTAGGTTGCATTTGAGCGACTGGCAATGGATGTTTCATTGGCGGTCTCCAAGACGAAATACGAGTAGAGGTGAAGGCCATGCAACCTAGCACCATGTCCGCGGCTGTTGGACTGGCTAGACTCCACGAGGACAGGATAAATAGCTTGAGGAAAACAAACCGAGGCGCAGGACCGATCTTGAAGACTCCACTCAATCGTCCTGAAGGTTCGACCGCCAAGGAAACGACAGTACCAACTCAAACAATTCCTCTGAAGAAGCTCTCATGGTCAGAAATGCAGGCTCGTAGGGAACGAGGCCTCTGCTACAATTGCGACGAAAAATTCTCCCTTGACATAAGTGTAAGCGACATCAGGTGTTCACCTTACAAATCGATCCTGAGGGAGACTATGAAGATGACTGGGCCGACGACACGGATGAACCGAGACAGTTAGGGGAACCGGGAGAGCCGGCCATTTCATTACAACCTCTGACGGGGACACATTCAGCCCAGACCATGCGGGTGATGGGCCGGCTTATGGGCCGACGGGTTGCAGTATTAATCGACAGTGTAGTACTCTGAATTTCATTACCGCTGTGCTGGCTAAGCAGTTGGGGCTAGCAATCGAACCGACTGTCTCGTTCTCCGTCCATGTAGCTGATGGTAACTGTATACGGTGGATTGAATGTGCGAAGGGCTCAGGTTACAGATGCAAGGGTGTGAATTCTGAGTGGATTTGTACCCGCTGGAATTCTGTGGGGCTGATGTGGTATTAGATTCAATGGTTAAAAGAGCTGGGGCCAGTAACATGTGATTGGGCCCACCTCACGATGGATTTCCAGAGTCAAGGCAAACGGTGTCACCTTAAAGGTTGGGAACCAGAGCCGATACAACAGGAGAGGTTAAACCTTATTCTGAAGTCAGGAACTGGTGTGAAGGGAGTTATTTTAACAAGTTTGGGCGTGAGTCAGCCAGGCCCAACCTTGTCCGGGAGTGACAGTGAACACATGTCTGAAATACAGGAAACCAAACTGTTACCGGTTACTCAGATGTTTTTCATGAACCCTCTGGCTTGCCGTTAGTAGGGGTGGCAATTTTTCACCCAATCCCTTGAACCTGCCCAATCCACCCAATCTGCCCATTTATTTGGTGGGTTGTGTGATCAACCCATCACTCAATCCACCAATTTAAATGGATTGGGTTGGGTTGGGTTGTGGATAACCGTTGGGTTAACCATTACAAATATAAATATTAATTTCTTAGTTTTTTTTTAATTTTCTTCATTTGAATTAAATAATTTATAATTAATACATTAATTTTCTATTAATTGTTGATTAAATTTAGTTGTCTTGAATCAATACATTTCACCGGACCAGTTCAATACACCCGATCCAACATATCGATCCGGGTCAACTCGACTTTGAAATAGACCTCAAACGGGATGGCTTGGTATCACTTGCTTTGCCCGGTTGGGTTGTTCGGTCCAACCATTATTCACACAACCCAACCCGACCCGACACAAGGAGATCCGGGTCGACCCAAATCCGAAGTAGGCCACCGGACCGGGTGAAGTCCATACCCTAAATCACCCACTTGCTTTGCCCGGTTCGGCGCGTATCCATACAACCCGAACCGAATTCGGCACGGGTCAACAATGCTAGTTGACCTAGACCCTTTGGAGCCTCTGACCTGGGACCGACTTGAATTCGGATCGGTCTGGTCCGACCGAAGTGAGCCGGTCCAGCTGGGTCTGGCCCGACTGAGCTGAACTGGCCCAATCTAGTGTGGTCCCGACCGGTTCAGTCGGGACCTGATCCGACCAGACTGGTCTAGATCTAAACGGTTCAACCACTCTTGATGTGCTTAGTTCAAAGACAATCCAATTAGATAGTTTAAGTTGGTCTGACCGGCTTGAACCTAAGTGGTTTGTCAAATCTGAAGCCCAAACATAGTTAAGTGGCTTTGCTGCTTGTGTAAAAATAATGCATGTAATGTGATTTGAACCTTCATCACTTGTATAAATAACAATTACTATTACCACTAAGCTATAACCAACTTATTTATTAGGATGGAATTAGTTTTTGGTTTTAACTACATAAATATAAGATTAATGGGTTTGGGCAGGTTGGATTGGGTTGAACCAACCCATTTAATTTTACATAATTGGGTCATTAACGGGTTGACGGGTAATGGACTGGATTGAAACTCAACTCAAACCAAACCCAACCCAATCCACTCAATTGCCACCATTAGCCGCCAGTGCAGTCACATGACCATCGGATTCCAATCAAACCAGGTGTTGCACCTGCTAATGTGCGACCCTATCGGTATCCACATTGCTAGAAAAAGAAAATAGAAAGATTGGTGAATACAAAGGCATGATACAGCTTAGTAACAGCCCGTATTCAGCACCTGTCCTCTTGGTTAAGAAGAAAGTTGGCACATGGCGTTTTGGAATTGACTACTGTGCCCTAAATTGATGAACTGTTGGATGAACTTGGTATGGCTAAAATTTTCTCCAAATTAGATTTACGGGAAGGGTACCACTAGATTAGAGTACATGCTCAAGACGTCTATAAGACGGCATTTAGGACGCAGGAGAGCCACTATGAATTTTTTGTGATGCCTTTGGCCTTACAAGCTCCATTTACTTCGTATTTGTGGCGTTTTATTCTGGTGTTTTTTTATGACATTTTAGTCTACACCACCGATTTGGAGTCTCACATGCAGCATTTGACATTCTTAGGGCCAATCAGTTGTATGCTAAAAAGTCGAAATGTGATTTTTGACAGACGCAAATTCACTATTTTGGACACTATGTCACAGCAGGCACAGTCAGAGCTGATCCAGACAAGATAAATTGTATGTTGCAGTGGCCCAAGCCCACAACTGTCAAGGATCTTAGGGGTTTTTCGGGTCTTACTGTGTATTACCGGCGGCTCATTAAGGGATACGGCACTATGACAGCTCCACTAACAAAATTGCTCGAGAAGAATGCATTCCAGTGGTCGGAAGAAGCAGAGAATGCCTTCACGACACTAAAGATGGCCCTTACGACACCCCCATCTTGTCCCTGCCAGATTTTTCAAAACCGTTTGTAGTGGAATCGGATGCATCAGGAAAGGGCGTAGGGGCGGTACTGTTACAAGACGAAAAGCCAATTGCCTATTTCAGCAAGGTTCTATCACCATTGGCCCAGGGGAAATCCACGTTTGAAAAGGAGTTAACGGCGGTTGTGTTGGCTGTGCAGAAATGGAGGGGGTACTTGCTGGGTCGAGCTTTCACCATTCTCTCCGACGAAAGAAGCTTACGATATCTAATAGAACAACCGGTTCTGAATGAGATACGACAGAAGTGGGTATATAAGTTGCTAGGCTTTGACTTCACAATAGAATACAAAGCAGGTCCGTCCAATCTGGTTGCGGATGCTTTGTCAAGGCAACATGAGTGCGTCAGATGGTAGCTTCTAGGCTCACTTATCCATTTATGAGTCAACTGAGGGAGGAAGCCTCTAATGATGCTTGTCTCACTTGAGATCAGAAACCAGATCCGGAATGGAGAACAAGTCCCATCTGGTTTCTCCCTTTGTAATGAAACTCTGATGTACAAGGGCAGAATGGTGCTGCCAGGTAACTCAACCCACATTCCGGCCCTCTTAGAGCTTTTTCACGCTTCACCAGTGGGTGGACATTCTGACATCCTACGAACATATCGTAGGGTATCATCTCAATTTTATTGGGTGGGGATGATGAGACAGATTCGAGAGTATGTTGCCATGTGTGCAATATGTCAAGGGCATAAATATGACAATCAGTCCCCGGCTGGGCTGTTACAGCCTATACCGCTCCCGGAACAAGTTTGGGATGAGGTAACCATGGATTTCATTACTGGTCTACCTCCTTCCGGCGGAAAGACGGTCATTGTTGTTTTTGTGGATCGGCTGTCTAAGTATGCGCATTTTGCACCACTTTCCCATCCATACACTGCAGCACAAGTGGCCAAAATTTTTGTCCAGGAGGTCTCCCGTTTACATGGCACACCCAAGACAATTATCTCTGATCGGGACTCAGCTTTCATGAGCCATTTCTGGGGTGAATACTTCCGGGTGCAAGGAACGAAACTCCATCATTCCACCAGCTATCATCCACAGTCCGATGGAGGTGGTGAATCGTTCCCTTGAGACCTACCTTCGGTGCTTTACTAGTGATTACCCTGGGAGTGGACTAAGTGGCTGCCGTGGGTGGAAGACTGGTATAAAACCTCATTTCATGTTTCAATTGGCATGTCACCTTTTCATGCCCTGTATGGAAGGGAAACCACCCTCTTTACTACCCTATGAGAAGGGATCCACAGCTGTGACTGAAGTAGATGCACATCTAGCAAACAGAGATGCCGTCCTTAAGGACTTAAAGGCCAACTTGCTAAAGGCACAACAAATGAAGGCCTACTATGATAAGAAACATCGAGATGTTCAGTTCGAGGTAGGAGACTGGGTTTATTTGAAGCTGAGGCCCTACAGGCAGAGTAGCTTGGCCAAAAGGTCCTCTCAAAAGTTAGCTCCCAGATTTTAAAAGGTCCTCTCAAACACAAAAAAGCATATCTTAATAGTTAATGCGAAGTATGAACTATCAAAATGCTTTGTGAAACATTGAAATAGTAAAGGACTAAAATGAAAGTAATAACTGTGGTTTAAAAGTTAAGTCATTCTATTTTAATACATTATTTAATAGGAGTTAAATAAATAAATACAAGTTAACGATTCAATAGGAATCAGATTTGAGATTGCCATTTGCATCTTTAAACCTACTACAATGATAGGATCCAATTAATAGATACAAGAACAGGAATGAAATCTAGTATCAAATTCCTCACTGCGAAAAATAGGAATAAGATACAGGAAAAGAAGTAATCATTTACATAACCATTCTACTTCTTGCATTACATTTCCTTTTCTTCATTGTACAAATTGGAAATCTCAAATAAATGATCCAAAAACATCTATAACTAATTGTGAGCATGGAAAAACACTTTGTTATGTATGTTTGCTTTGCAATTTCATTAAAAAATGGGCAAGAGCAGAAAAAAAAAAAAAGCTTGCACCCAGATCAGGTGCCACCTCCCTTCCTCATTATCTCAACTATGCAGCAATTACATTTTATTTCCATTTTTTTTTCATTTTCCATATAAACAACTTACACGACACTAAATGCTGACTGTAATGTTGATGAAACATGAGAGGCAATAGTCCGAGAGGCAAATGCTTGAATCTGCTTCTTGGCATCTAAAGAAACACAAGGATTAAAAGCATTAAGAAACAAAATAATGCATCTGAGTTGAAAATTAGCAGTAGGAACTAAGAATACTACAAGAAAGAATAAGAACATTTGCAATCTCAACCACACAGGCACCCCATCTTAAGTTTTTAAACCTAGCAATAAGCAATGTATTAATTAATTTTAGTGATATCACTGAAGAGACTTCATGCTCAAGCTTAGTTTTAGTTGGACCATTGCAGAGGATCACATGCTCAAGATATTAACTTATGGGCTTATTTTAAGCATTTAACCAGTAACTAACCCCATAAACAAAAAGACTATTGTTAATGATGCCACTGGCTTTGGTTCATTGCACAAAACTTCAAGCTGGTGTTCAGGGTTCAGACCCTGTGGTATTCCAGTGGTTGAATTAGAATTTTTCCAATGCTAGTGTTCAGATTGCCAATCCTCTGGTATCCCATTGGTTGAATTAGACTTTTATTACCAACCATGATGAGTTCACATGGTTAATACAAAAGGAATAGGCATTGTTTTGCACGCCTCCAAAATGTCCTACAGATGCTAGATACTATTTTAAATTTTATGACTGTTAGACCTAGATGAATTTCTCGGGTAACCCCCCTTATCTATATAACCATCATTTAACATAAGAGAAATTTTAAGCCTTTTATGGTAACAACTTTTGAGCTCTAATGTTGTCATAATAGATACCTTTTTGGGGCCCTTAAATAGATCGTACAATATGTTCCCACACTCCCAAGTCAACAAAGTAACAAACCACTTCTTTATTCACAACAGAGTTTCTTTTCTTCTGTGATAAGGTTTTCTGGACATTTTCAGTGTTCAACAGTGTTTTCTGGAGTCCAGAAAACAACTTTCAAAGTATGGCAGTTGAAGTGCTATGTTACCCAGATACAGCAAGGATGCAGCTGGGTACATCATTGGATACAAATTTTGCACTAAGAAATTGAAGTATCCAGCACAATACGACATAATTGTATTGGTATTCAGGTATCATGGTTGAAGGGCCTAGTAAACATGGCAAACCACTCTGATGAATGATCCCTAGTTTTTCAGTGGTCTGTCTTGAAGTTGAAAGAAACTCTCACATTTTCTGAAAACAACGTGAATCCTGATGCTTTGTTGTAAAGAAGAGCGGTTGGGACAATTTGCTCCTGGTTGTTGGTTCAAGAACAATTCAGTAAAGTTCTCTACCACTCCTTTTTAAATTTTGAGCCTCTATTTTGGCATCATATATTAGACATACAAAGTTTTCTTATTACAAGCTTCCAAAGAGCCTTGTTTATGTGGATTCTGGTGTACACAATATCCTTTTGCCTTTTCAAATGCAATTAATATATTTTTTTTCAATAAACTGCAAATAACATATCACTGTCTCCAAAAAAATGATCTTATGATATCTTGGGCTATTTTCAGGTGCAGTAGCAGACTAGCAGTCATCAATTTAATATGCTTCAGAAGAATTTGTCTTGTACGTAAAAAAAATCAAATAACTCCATTTAGCCTAAACTTTTGTGAATCAATTAATTTACATCTAGGTCACCAATTGTAAATACAATGAGTAATCAAGTAAGCAGTTGGAAACATAAAATGGCACCACCACAATTAAAACTAAAATACCCAGTTCAGATGAAAAACTGGTCCAAATTTGCAGAGTTAATATAGATTATAATACCCAATTTTCATTATTTAACCTGTAATGGTACTCAATTATAAAAGCAATGAGTAATCAAGCAAGCAGTTGGAAACGTAGAATGGCACTGCCACAGTTAAAACTAAATGCCCAATTCAGATGGAGAAATAATCCAAATGTGCAAATAACCAATGTAGACTATAATACTTAATTTTCATTCTTTAACCCATAGTGGTACTCAGAAATCAGAGGATGATACAAATACATTTGTTGATGCATGGACCCTACACGCTAATTGCTCCTTGAAAATAAAGTTCTAACGAAGAAATCTACACATCTGCCTTGTGGACCAGGGTCATCTGCTGCAGCGCAGACATCAAAGAACACTTCTCACAAAATCTCCCATACCAAAATCAACCTCCTTGTACAGATTACAGATAGCAGGGTTGTCGCTGACTGTATCCTAGAAAGGAGGAATCACTAAAAGTTTGGAAATTTCATCGGTTTAATTTTTGGCAATTTGCCATGGATCTATCATTTTGCAGGAGTAATACAAATTGGAATATCTTGGAGGGAAATGGATTTTGTGAAAATACAATTATTGCCTTTTTTCTATATATTGAAGGAAAGGATATTAGGCATTTGCTGCAAATATCTTACTTGATGAGAGCAAGGTGGTCAATCAAGTTCTATATGCACTCTACCATTTTTAATCTAGTTAGGCACTAGAAGGATGTCAGATTTTAGGGTTTTGCACAAAGATGGGATAAACTAATCTATAAACCATACTAGACCAGTTAACTTTGGCCAACTAGGCAATTTAATAATTTCCCAGGTAACAATTCAAAACAGTACATATACGTTGGCTAATGAAAGGATTAAAACAAAAAATTGCATACCTTTGCGGCATTTAGTGAAGCCAACAATATTTGCAATGCTGAGGCTCAAACAAACTCCTACAACTAGGAGATAATCTGGTTCAAACCTTATGATTGAAAATATTCCAAGGAAGATCCAAGCAACTGCCTGCGCATAAGAAGATTGCTCTAACAGATCTATCAAAATAAGTACATAAATAAATAAAAAGATAGTTCTAACAGAAGAAACTTTATATCTACAAGAGAAGCACTCAAGTATTTGAAGTTTTATGGTCATTCAATGCATTCACTAGTTCATTTTTTTAAATTACTAGGGTATATCATGAATACAGACCGTGCAACCATTTGCACATAAAGGCAAGTGTTACCCAAGCTGGTAAAAAGTAATATGACCATCTAAGTACTGCGCATATACCTTGGTCAGGATGACATCTCATTGAGCTGGATCCTGAGATCAACAAATTCATCAGAAAATGGCCAAAGCCAGAAGTGGAGTTGCTAGAGCTTCTTTCTTCTTTTTTATTTCTTTTGAAGGAAACCTTGCTAACCCCGTGGAGTTGCCAAAGCCAGAAGTGGCCCAAGTCTCTGCTACGAACAGCAGGAAACCTTACCAACCCACTGGTTGGCACTTTGCCTAGAGCTTCTTTCCATTGGGGGATGAGAATACTAGGGCTGCCATTGTATTCAGCTGATATTACCTTGGTCAACTCCTGAGGAGCTGCCTTATGTTTCATTTTTTCTTGCTTTTTATTTGTGGTCTTCCTTTCAACATCAAAGTCAGAAGGTTATCTGTACATTATGCTTATTTATATTAATAAAGCACTTTGATCATTGCTACTTATAAAAAAAAGCAATATGCATATGCTGGAGCACTTTTCCATGCAAAGTAGGCATAGAAGTTCACCCCCACTCCCCACCTCTCTCTCTCTCTCCCTTTGGCGCATGCACAAACACCTATGGATATAAAAAATTCACAATCATACCAGTTCCCCAAGCCACCACTACTGCGCAGTTACACAAATCTTCAGGAAACTCCAGCCACAGACCTTAGAAACCATAAAAGACTTGAACGAAAAAGCTTAACTTCTCAGTGATTCTTCAAATCTAATGGTATATAAATTCAAATGTACCATGTTAGAAATTTTATCTGATAGTACATCTGTGGTGTATTAACTTACCGTAAGGTAAAGGGTCCACCAGAAAAGCCATGAATCTTTCTTATTCATTCGAGCCAATGACTGTACATAAAACAACAATATATACAGAACATAAGATGCAGGTAAAATTATAGTCTAAAATTTGTAGTAGGGATTTATTGTACAGAAAAATATATTGTATATATGCATACTAACCTCTTGGTCAAGGCATTCAAATTTCCAGATACTTTCACCCTGATCATCTATTTCATTCCACCACCTCAGACCAACTAATATCCGTCCACTGACATTTTTCACTACCCAAAAATCAAGAGCAGCAAGAAGCACTGTAACCACAAAAATGACGACAAAGCTACTAAAGAATAGGGCAGAAAGAATGTAGAACGCCAAAGCTGCAGCCTGTCAAAATCCAAAAAATAGTTAATCACATAACAACATGAGGTTACGCAAGAAAAAGGAAAAAAAAAAAAAAAAAAAACCTTGTCAAGAAACAACATACCTTGAAGAAAACATGAAAGAAGCATGTCTTTGGATTGGCATAATTTTCCGCAGGCTGCATTACGAAGGAAAACCATATGACTTAAGAAATAGATAATAAATGTAAGCAAAGCCATTCAAAATTGAACTAGATTAGGGCCAATTGGGACATCCAACTTGGACTTCTCCAAATTCTCAATCACAATGTAAGCTGGATACCGGACTCTCACAGGGCCTAAAGCCGAGTAAGAAAAAATTTTGGTCCAAATGTGCTTTCTTATTGGGGAGGGATATAAAAAAAAATTGCTTAGGCAATAACATCAATTGATAATTTGCAGGTCATAGCATGGAAAGTTGGTTTTTTGAACCTCGATTTCGATAAATTCAAACGGATACATCAGGCCAACCTTGTCTGATATATATAGGAATCAGGCGACCCTACAGATGAACAGATCTATGTAAATGATGATAGAGAGATAACTCAAGTGCTCTGATGCAATGTAAGAATTCACACATGATGACGTTTACATAAAAATGCATCCAAGAAAAGAATACAAAAAACAATTCTTTGATGAACAGGTTTATAAACTATGATAAAAATGAAATTTATGTGAATTCTATAGCAAAAGGAGACGCTGGTGAGAAATCTTGTTGTATGATTTACCGGATTTAGATCCATAACAAGAGATGTAAATGGTTTCTATTGAAATCTCCTGGGGATCTCCAGATTCGTGAGAGAAGAAAAACCAGAGTAAGATCTTCCCTCTACTTCGTTTTCTCTTTCTTCTTAGCTAAGGTTGAATTCTTCAGTTTTATTATCGGGAGAGCGCTCTATGAGGAATTCTGATGGGAGCCATTGTAATAACGACGCGCGATTGGTGGGCGTCGGAGGCTTGCAAAAAATGGAAAAGGGAAATTTCAAGTTTCATTAAATTACCCCTAAATTTTAGAAAACTGGCAACTGTTTAGAAATTGTCTTAAATTATCCGTAAGCTTTTTAACAATTAACCAAATCTTCCCTGTGGTTAATATCCGTTAATGTTCTATAATAATCCGTTCATAAAACTTGACATGTGGCATATAAATAAGTTTAAAATCCAAAATTACCCTGTTACAGTCAATTTTGCCCTTCATTGATCTTCAAATTTTTAAAATAAAACCCAAAAGATTGAAATAAAATTTTTCAAATAAATAAATACGTTAAAACCTGCAACATCAAATGGGTACGTAAAATGAAACTCAAGGTTCCAAAGAACATCCCCTGGTCACTCACACATTTCTCTGCTGTCTTTACAAACTTCTTGAAACACTCTAGTGCAATTTTCCCCTTAAGATATGGGTCAATTAACTCAAGGATTCCCTTCTTCCGGCAAAGCACGACCAATTCCACCAAGCCGACTTGTTCCTTTGGCAATGTTGGACTCAACACTGAACGAGCACACAGGATCTCAAACAGTACAATCCCAAAACCATTTCAAATCTATGAGGATGTTTGTTGCCTTCAACATCTCAGTGGATAATGGTGTGGTTGATGCCAAAGTGGAGGTAGTGTAGGCCACTGGCAGCTTCAATGCAGATCTCAAGCCTCTGCCTCCACGGCAGGGGTGGTTTACGAGTCTGTTAGAGAATAGAACCTATTCAAGGACCTCATTAGCTTAAGCTTTTAAATTCAATGGTTCTTTGAGATGATATCAGAGAAAGCCATTTTGACCAAATGATCTATGGTTCGATTCTTGTCGCCCATTATAATTAATTAAGTTTCGGCACAAAGTATGGGTGGGCTTTTACTGTCCACACTTTGAACCCAATGGGCTTTGGTGTGAAGGGGCATATTAGAGAACAAAGCCTATTCAAAAACCTCACTTAACAGCTTAAACTTTTAGGTTCAATGATTCTTTGAAAGAATCTTGTAAAGAGTCCCCATGAACCATGTAAATCATGGACGAGGATCATTTCACAGTATCCAAATTCCAAACAGTGAGATAGGTGATGGTGGCGGAACTTCGAGCATCTCGATCTGTCTTGAAATTCATGGACCCCTTGCTGAGACAATCGATTGCCTTAATCTCAACAAAGGAAAGTGACTGCAAAGGTTTGAAGGAAGTGAGGGTGTACAACTTCTACAAGTTTTTGCTTGTTTTGGCAGACCCTCGAGAGGGTGAATTTGCATACTGAGAAATAGGGACTCACCTAGGTGATGCACCATCAATGCTACCAGATTACTTCCTTTTCCTCTGCCATGAGGATACAGCAAGCACTAACGAATTTGTTGGGAATACTTCCAAAGAATTGGTTCTGATAAAGATACAGATGCTTTAAAGCTGAGCAGTTACCAGTTTCAGATGGGATCTGATTAGTTAGAGAGGTTTGCCATGTAAGTTGCAAGGGTTTTTAGATTTGTTTTTATTTTGAAAATTAAAAAAAAGGGAAATTGTCTCTTAAACTCATCATAAGTTTTCAAAACATCCAAAACTCTTCATGCCATTTAATTTTTATTTTCCAAAACTCACCATCCGTTAGAGCACCATTTAAGTTCATTGGCCAAGTTGTCCACGTCAACCTAAATGCAAGTTTCATGACCAAACTACCCTTGAACGGATAAGATTTCCGCTTGCTGAGAGTTTTTCATATATAAGATTTTCACTTGATGAGAGTATTTCTTGCTCTCAACGTCCAAAGGAACTTCTAATCAGGTATTTCATCTTCATTTTTGCTTAATTAGGGCACTCGTTTTTCATTGAACATGGGGGTGGTGACTTGACGGTCGCTGGAAAGTTTCACCTGAACTAGAAGAATTAAATATGATTTTACTCATTGTTAGCACCACTCATCATATAAATTTACTTGGAGAATGTGCTGTTAGATTTGAGTCTTGTAATTGGAAACTTAGTCAGATTTTGCACTTAGGTAATCTGCTGCTAGAATTTACTTGGAAATCTGATTCTGCACTAAGTAATCATAGAATAGCAATCAAAGTCTTGTTATTGGAAACTTGATTTGTATCTCACAAATGACCTATTTAGGCAAAATAGTAGTCTCTGTGGAATTTGTTGTGAAAGACTATTTGATGTTGGTGACTTGAGAGTAAATAGCTATTTTCCAAATTTGCAATTTTGCACAACTTTACGTGTACCTCAATTCAATGTTCAGACTTCTCACAAGACCATAACTGCAAGTTGGTAACCAATTTTTCACTATCATCACTATTAATTTTCACTTGCTTTGAGCGTTTTCTTATCATGTTTGATAATTATAATTACCTCTGCACTATTATATATACAATGCTTTTATATATTGGCATTTCCCACCTTAATTTCTGTCCTCATTCAGATAAATATGGTACTTTGCTTTGCAAGTCAGCAAATTTTGTTCCTGCTATATGAACTTTATGGTGACACTAAAATCTATAATTGTTTAAGCCTAGTTTGGAAGTATGAAGTCTGAACTCCATCAGCGAATCCATAAGCTCTGCATTTTGTCGGTCGCCAATACCACCTACATCACATATGTTGTGAATTCCATTAACTAGGGCCCTTGTGGGTTGGCCCTGATTCAAGGAACTGCTAGGACAAGGGGGTTCAATATTATTCATCACCTGAACTCCATCACATATGTTCTGAATTCCATTAACTACCCTTGTTGATTAGTCCTGATTCAAGGAATTGTTGTGACAAGGGGGTTCCATATTATTCATCGTCTGAACTCCAGTTAACTTTATGATATTTTCCATGTTTGGTAGCTGAGATGAACTGTATAATGATCCAACATGCCCAAAGTAACTAAGGTTCTGATCAAACCTATTCATGGGCCGGCCCATTATTAAGTCGGTCTTGGTCATAATTTTAGACTCGTGGGTTCGGGTTCAGGCCTAAAGCATTGGGCCTGATTTTTTTTCAGGCTGAGTTCGGGCTTTCTCAAAAAAGCCTGGCTCGAGCCCGACCCCAATCACGACTTGATACAATATATTAAATAATAAAAATATATTTTGTTTAGTAAAAAATATATATACAATATTTTTTCTTTGTTCTTCTTCTCTTTTTTTTCCAAGTAATAGTGAGATATTTATTATTTTCGAGTTTTGAAGGTTCTTAATATAAATAAAAAACCTTTTTATTGAATACAAAAGAAAAATAATTCTGTTTTCAAATTTTTGATTAGGCTCGGGCTCAAGACATAGGCCCGATGGTCGGGGGCCAGGCTCGGGTTCGGGTCTAAGTGTATTTTGTTGATACATATACAAAGCCCGGCCCGACCCAACCAATGAATAGGTCTAGTTTTGAGCACTAAACTCAATATTCTCTGATCATCAACTGCTTTACTACCCAACCTTGYCTATTCCACATGCCCATTAAAAACTTTTTTCACCTATTTTAATTGTCATTAAAGAARAGCATGGACATGAAGATCTAATGTTATTGTTATTTTAGGAAAGATGACTTCTCATGCTTCAAMAAATAAGTCCATTAATGTTGAAATGTGACATGCACAAAAGAAAATGTGCCACACTAAAGTCTAAACTCCAAGGAATCCAAGAAAATTCTTTTACAAATGCTTGAGTCTTTCTCCTTAATCTCTTTAGGGTTAGATCTGTAATTGATTATTATTTTACATGTTATTTGATTATTAAGTCGGTCTTGGTCATAATTTTAGGCCCGTGGGCTCGAGCTCAGGCTTAAAGCATTAGGCCCGACTTTTTTCATGCCGAGTTCGGGCTTTCTCAAAAATGCCTGACTCGAGCCCGAGCACGACTTGATACAATATATTAAATAATATAAATATATTTTGTTTAGTAAAAAATATATATACAATAATTTTTCTTTGTTCTTCTTCTCTTTTTTTTTCCAAGTAATAATTAGATATTTATTATTTTTGAGTTTTCAAAGCTTTTAATATAAATAAAACACTTTTTTATTGAGTAAAAAATAAAAAGAATTGTGTTTTCAAATTTCTGATTCGGCTCCGGCTCGGGCTCAAGACTTAGGCCCGATGGTCGGGCCAGGCTCGGGTTCGGGCCTGAGTGTAGTTTGTTGATACATATACAAAGCCCGGCCTGACCCAACCAATGAATATGTCTAGTTCTGAGCACTAAACTCAATACTCTGATCATCAACTGCTTTACTACCCAACCTTGTCGGTTCCACATGTCCATTAAAAACTTTTTTTGCATTCTTTTAATTGTCATTAAAGAAGAGCATGGACATGAAAATCTAATGTTATTGTTTTTTTAGGGAAGATGACTTCTTGTGCTTCAACAAAAAAGTCCATTAATGTTGAAATGTGACATGCACAAAAGAAAATGTGCCATACTAAAGTCTAAACTCCAAGGAATCCAAGCAGATTCTTTTACAAATGCACGAGTCTTTCTCCTTAATCTCTCTAGGGTTAGATCTGTAATTGATTATTAGTTTACATGTTATTTGATTATTAAGTCGGTCTTGGTCATAATTTTA